TAACTACTTAACTTTGCACATAGTAGTTATCTTTGTACCATTCATAGAATTAAATTTATAGGACAATTAGAGTAGGCTTCTTATCAAAATTATAGCTTGTCCTTTTGCAAATAGACCACTTCACAAAGGTATCAAGTATATTATAATATACTTGATGCCAAAATGTTTCTTTCATTTGTATTTATTTAAATTATTAAATTATGCAATGTATGAATGTGTTATGCACTTACCTCGATGTCTGCTTATAATTTCACTTCCACTTAGAACTCATTTACTCTCTTTAAACCTCCCACACCCCAACAAGGCAAGTGAGGTCAGAATAGAACAAAAGCATCTTGCATCCACATGAGGTTGATGGGTCAAAATAGAACAACTACCTCCCACAACCACACTAGGTAGATGGGATCATAATAGAACAAAAATAGCATTTGTAATATTTTAGAGATCAGAACTCTTCCAATGTTGTGCCATGAATTGTGCAATTTTGAATGCAACAGTAGATAATTATGACTTTAAACATGTGTATGATAATATATGAACTACCATAATTATCAAAGTAGGATAACATTATATGTGCAAAACCCTACATACATAACATTTTCTTTTTTAGTTATAATTTCAAAAGAACGTCAAAACAATATTTTATGACTTTTAGAGCTATCAAGGATGCCAAAATGTCTCACTTATTTAATATGCACAAAAATCATCAAAGATAAAATCAACTGGTGAAAATTCAACTTTTTATAGACACTACAGGAAAATGAACGATTACCGTCGGTCAAATAACCGTCGGAAGTACCGGCAGTTTAACCGGTTGTCTGACCGTCAGTATTAACCGACGGTTTATCCGGCGGTGTTTAATAATAAACTGCTGGAAATATCAACGGTAAAACAACCCCAGGGTAGGCCGCCAATTTTCTATTTTTGTGTCAAATTTACTGGCGGCTAAGCCGCCAGTGTTAAGTGTTTTTCTCCCGATGGTCAAAACTGTCGGATATTGACTTAAAATTGGCTAAATCGACCCTTCCTCCTCATTTGTTCACATATCGTTTTTTCCTCCAGATACCGTTCACACTCGCGCTCGCCTTCAATTTCGTCCGCAGGTCTCCGGCTGTCAACAACGTAACTTTGGTTGCCGATAACGCCCTCACTTTGGTCGTCGATCACACCCGCACTCTGCCCGCCGAAATTTCTTGCTCTGCCCGTCGACGCCCTCGATCACTTCTGCTAAGCCAAACACTCTGAAGGTTGTTGCATTTACTTTTTTTGTTTCTTTAGTCATGGATGGTTACTTATAAAGCATTTTCATATTTTATTTTGATTACATTGAGGTTATGGAGCGTAGGTTGCAGTGTGATACTAATGTTTCTCAAAATCAATTTGGATTCATGCAGGGTAGGTCTACTATGGAAGCCATACATTTATTGAGAGATTTGATGGAGAAATATAGAGAGAATAATGATGATCTACATATGATATTTATTGATTTAGAGAACATATGATAAAATTTCAAGAGAAGTGCTATGGAGAGTTCTAGAAACGAAAGGGGTTAATAATGCTTATTAAAAAGTCATTAAGGATATGTATGCAGAAGTTGTTACTTGTGTTCAAACAAAAGGTGGTTTAACCAAGTATTTTCCTATTTCAGATGGATTACATCAAGGATCTCCCTTAAACCCATATCATGTTGCTTCAATCATGGATGTTCTTATTAGACATTTGCTAGAGGTCAACCTAAGAGTATAAAGATTTTTGTGAGTGTAATTTTAATAGTAATAGATCCATTAGGGTAGATTGTGAGTTTGGGCAATTAAGTCATTAATATATACATTTTAGATAATTTGGGTATACTGTTCAGAATGATGATGGTGAAATAGATGTGGATATTATAAGTAGAATTCTAGTTGGATGGTTGAACTAGAGGAATGCATCGGGCTTGTTGTGTGATAAAAAAGTCCTCAAACTTAAGGTAAAATTCTATAAGATGATAGTGAGACCTGCAATGCTTTTTGGTGCAAAATGTTGGCCATTAAAAGAGAATCATAATATTGATTTAAAACAAACACATAAAATGGTTGCCTTCCGATAACCCGGTTAGGAGAGTAAATGATATTTCTTTCTTAGATTTAAACAAGATTTAAGGCTGCATATCGATACCATACAGCTTATTTTAACCGCCAGAATTTTAATATAGCTGCCAGCAAATACCGGCGATCAATCGGCGGCTTGGCCGCCGGCAAAACCGACGTTTGAGATGGTCGGTACGCCGCCAGTAATTAACCGGCAATCGCCGGCACTATGACCGCCGGAATTTACCAACTGTGATGGCCGCTGGAAAGCCGTATGAAACTGACCGCTGCAATTAGTTTCCTATGCGATTAATACCGGCGGTTAACAAACCACCGAAAAACCGCCGGTAGTTTTCAAAAAAGTCAAAAAGTTTATACTAATCATCGAAAAAAGCCGCCCGTAATTGACAATTTTTTTGTAGTGAGACAAAATGTTAAGTGTCCAAAATAAAGCATACTACAATGAGAAAAAAATTACATGGAAAAAACAACATAAAACCTAAGAATATATATATATACCCCCCTCACCCAACCACCTTGCTAGAGAAGAAAGAGGAGAAACAAAGGACAAAGAATGAAAGAGAGGTAATTCGGTAGTTGCTCGAAATTCATTTGTAAGACCAATTAGAGATTTCATAGAGAACGAGATAGACTTCTGAATTCTTATCTTTGATTTCAACACTAGTAATTTCATAAGAATATATGAATTAAAATATATTTTCTTAAATTTTATGATATTTTTATCATGTAAGTTTTAGTACATTGTTGAATGATTTATTTTGAATATTTTACTTATAAGAAGTGATCAAATTTTTTTCTCCACAATGAATTTTATGAGTATTGAATAAATATGCATTTCTAGCTAGGGTGGCAAAAGAGTTGAGTTGAGTCAAACAAGCATCTATCTAATCAAGCTAAACTCATTTAATTTTTACTAAGCTCGAGTTAGTTTACTAAGCTCGAGCTCGACTCATTAAATAATTTATAGGTTGGAGCTTGTTTGGAAAATTCGAGCATGACTAAATTATTGAGCTTGATTTTTTTAGTTTTAAATAAATTTTAAAAAATATTTTTTATATTTGATTTTCATATAAAATTAATTTAAAATATTAAATATATTATATAATGCAAGTTTAAATTAATTATTAAATATATTTAATTTAATCAAGCAACTCAATAAGCTTTCAAGCTGAACCAAGTTGAGCTCGACTATGTGCTCAAGCTCGAACTTGTGGCACAATAAACTAGACTCGCGAGCTGGCTCGGCTCACTTACGCCCATATTTCTACCTTTCATAATAGTTCTATAAAAAGCTTAAAATTCTATTCTGAATATTATTATAAAATTATAATTATAATGAAAAAAGTATATAGGGTTTGTTTTTATACACAAAATATAAATTACTATAGGTAATTCTAATATTTTATGCAGCATCATAATTACCTATTGATGTCATTATTACTTATTATTGCATTCAAATTGTGTGGCTCATGACATGGTATTGGAGGAGATTTGAATTTTAAAATGTGATAAGTACACTCTGTGAAATAACATAAGGGTCATATTTGTTCTATTATGACCCCATCAATCTTATATGAATATTGGAGGAATTCTAGCTCTACTTATTGAAAAAGGGGTGTAAGAGGTTATTTTGTTATGTTCTGACCCCACTTGTTGAATGCAGGTGTGAGAGGTTAAAAGATAATTATAAGTAGAAGTGAAGTTATAAGCAGACATCATAATATATGTATAACACTAATGCATTGCATAACCTGATAATATAATAATTAAAGTATAAATGCTATTCTGAATTAGTTCTAGTAGATTCTGATATTTTTGAATGAATTCTGATGAAATGAGAAAGTCAAGTGCAAGTAAGATTTTGATGAAAGTTTTCTCTAACACCTCTGATAATACTGTAAAGATTGTATATGAAAGTATAAGTAATAATTCAGAATTCAAATATATATTGGTAATTATTTTTGCTAATACATAATTGTTTTCATATTAATTAACTAAATCTTTAATTTTTTTTGTTAATATGTAAAATGGGATATTGATATTTGTGATGGGCTAGCGATAGAAATCTTTTGAGCTGATTGTGCTTAACCTGTGATACTTTTTGACATTTTAGAAAAAAGAAAAGGACCAACGGAGTAGAGGGAGGTAGAATCAAGATCCTCTAAATCATAGTAGTTAATGTATTATTTTATATCTATTATGAATTCTTATGATATTTAATTTCAATAAGAACTAGATTATTGTATATATATTTTTAAAAATGAAAAAGAAATGATGTTTATATTGGTATTATTATTTTAGAATTGATAGACAACACTGATTTATTCTACATTATGGTTGAGTAAAAATTTCAATCTTTCCATTAAATCTTAGAGCATCATATACACACTACTAATAAATTAGGCTTTTACATCACATTTTATAACATACAGCAGCAGTTTAAACCGCTGCACATGCGCCGCATCTGTTTTCGCTAGTAAGGCTTCAGCAGCGGTTTTGTAAGCGCTTCTGTAGAAAGGCTATTGCAGCGGTTTCGGATCGCTACGGTAGAGATGCTATATCAACGGTTTGTAAGCGTAGCTATAGAGATGCTACAGCAGCTACTTCATTTAATATCCTGTCTTTGAAGGCCTTGAATATTTGAAATCAATGTTATACGTAAAAAATTTATATTACACATTTCAAAAGTGATCCGACCCCATATAGTGGGATAAAGACTTATTATTATAGTAGTAGTAGATTCAAGGCCTTTAAAATCCAGCATAAACATTTTTTATCAGGGCATTTTTAACACAAATTTCTTCATAATTATGCAATAAAACAAAAACAAAACAGATAAAAAGCAATAATCTTAAGAAAGAACAAACATCACACAATTATAAGGTGCTGCGAGACAAAAAAAAACTACTATGTACTTGAAAAAAATCAGCTAAAACAAAAATGTCATGCATATATATATAATATTCTGCAGCTCCCATCCTACATTTGCATTGGGCTTGCCGATTTGAACAACTTCGTGCTTTCTTGTTGGTTTTTAAAGCGGCTTTCTAATATTTAATTTTTTACTAAAAGACCGCTTTCAAAATCAACAACAACAAAAAAAACCGTCCCAAACGAAGCCTAGAGTTTTAAGAAGTCTCTTGGGGTAAAACTATCAAAGTGTCGGAAGTTTGAATTTCCAGGCTGCTAAAAGTCTTAAGCAAGGAAGAACTTTTCAGGAACATAGAATTTTAAGCCTACCGCCTGCAAGAAAGAAAAATTTTAAAATTAAAAGAGGGACAGGAGAGTCATATAACTTAAAAAAAGCTAAAAATTTGAAAACCAGTCATGCCTGAGCAAATTTGATGTCGGCATCACTATGGTCGTTTGTTCTTCCAGCTGCATCACCAACATAAAAGGACCTGCAATTAGTAGTTCCTTCATCAATATAAAGCATCATTCAAAAAGCTAAAGATGAAATAATGCCATCACTGATGAGGACATCGACAGACGCTACCGACATGTTTATCGCCGGCAAAACCGCAGATCGACGGCCACGATTCAGCGCCTCTACTTTTGATTTAGATGTTATGATGTATTTTATTATTATCTTATTTTATTTACTGTCTTTCCATTTTTACCCCTGTGGGGAGTTATTTCGTCATTGTAGCCCAGAGGGCAATTTGGTATTTTCTCTTTGTATGAGTTGAGACCTATATATAGTGGTCTCATGTATTGTTTTAAGGTTAATGAATATTTGAATGAAATCTAGTTTTGTTTCTTTTCTTTGTCTTCTTGCATGAGAGCCTGAAGAAAGAGAGAGAGAGAGAGCTCAAGGGGAGCAAATCGCAAGGCCCACCAGTCGTTTGAAGCATTCGCGGCTTGTGGTTAAATTATCATATTATCTCGTCGTACTTTCTCCATCTCCTTCCCCTCCACCACAAGAAAAATCAGCCCAAAGCCCTCATTTCCGCCGCCCCTCCACGTGGAAGTCCACCACCGGCCAACCTCACGGCTTGGGCCGGCCACTTCGCCGGCAACACCCCAACCGTCCAATCCTCCCTTCCGCATGTTCCCAAATCTGAAATTTGAATTTCGAATTTCAAATTCTTTCCTAATTTGGAAATCCAATTTAGGAAAGTTTATTTGATAAATTCCAAATTCAAATTAAATTAAATTGAGTCCTCATAATTTACCTCCACGTCATCACCCGAAATTGGAGACTCCACCATTTGATTTTCCCTTTCTCCCTCCTAGGATTGCCGCCGGCCTCCTCTAGGTGGATCCACAATTAATGCCCCCATTAAGGCATTGATGGCGCCTCATTTGAATTCAAATACATAGAGTTTTTTTCCTCCTAAATTACTTAAAACTGAAATTAATTTTCAGTTTTAAGTTTTAAACCTCCTCCCTCTCTCTATAAGCCGCCGGCCACCCTTATTGGACTCCCCTCATTAACCCCCATTAAATGTCTTAATTGCTTGATTTGAAATTTCAAATTCAAGTCAATTTTCCCTCCAAACTTAATCGAAACTGAAATTACTTCAGATTTTGATTAATTCCCTAATACAATCCATCTAAACCTAATTTGTTTTCAAGCCTTGTTCCTCCCTACACCCGCCGGCCACCCTTCTCCCTTGGAATCCCGCCGTCCCCCACCCTCTCTCTTCCCGTCTCTTGAATCAAGAGTCCAAGAGGGAACGAAGGTGACGTCTTCCATCTCCGTTTCAATGACGCATGGCGGATCTGGAGCTTGAGTGGGGTCTTGTGATCAACGCCGACGGAAGCATCAACATCCTACGATCTCCGTGCTTTGACGTAGGATTTGAAGACGAGACCACCGTGGAAGAGTATTTGGACCGAGTCGTCCTGATTCTTGCGAGCATCTTCGACCGACGATTCTCAAGCCACGATTGGAGCCTCGTAAGCCGCCCACTACCTCCTTCCTCGCCGGCTACCTCTCCACCAACGAAGTTCTTCGGAGCCTTCTCTCTAGTGGTGATATCTTTCTTCGTTTGGACCTTCTTTCTCCGCTAAAGCTTACCAATAATTGAGTGAGACGGCCCTCGAGGTGAAATTCTCATTGTTAAACGTTGGGTTTCTGTCAATTGTACTTTGCGTTTAAATTCCCTTGAATTTTGAATGAATTGTAGTGGTTAATCTCTCTTGTACTTCTTTGGGACTTGAGCAAGTTAAAAGTTTCTAATTCCCAAATCTCTCTTATTGTTAGCTTAAATTTAAACGAGCAAAACTTTAATCTTTTCATTTTAATTTCTAAAATAACTCCTAGTAGTTTCACATCAATCACCAACAGTAATATAAGTGGCATTCCATAACTTTCGGCTTAATAAACAGCAAAAATGCAGTTTTGTACATAATTTCCCACATAATGGGACTTTCATGAGTTTCAGATTTCACACAGCTCATCTTAATCTATTGGTTGAGAGTTTTATCTATCAACTAAGAGGTTTTGGATTTAAAGCTTATATATATGTTGTGTGTGTAAGTTTGTCTACTTGGTTCAAAAGTAAAAAAAAAAAGTTTCAGATCTCCGGCCTCAAAAGTTTTAGAGATGCATTCCATTGATGTCAAATTATGAGTTGATAACACAGAGCATTAAATATAGAATGATCAACAATAGTACTCATAGTTCAATATCAACAAAAATCTTCCAAAGTTTGTTGAACCAAGCAAGACGGCTTTGTTTCACTTCATGTATAATTCTTTAAGCTTGCATTTTTTGTCTTTCCCCTGAGAAACTTTCCCTATAGGTTGCTTTATATAATTAGTTTTGGCAAGATCTCCATGGAGAAAAGCATACCGACATTTACTTAAACATTAATTGGTTAAAATGGAGAGAAAGATGAACATAATTCAATAAATCAAACAAACATAAAGCAGCTTCTAATTAGAAATCAGAAGGGAAGTAACTGGTCCATGTCAAGGGCTATGCCAGAATTGAAATGCTCGGTAAAAATTTTCCACATTCCAGTCATTGGCTTGCGAAAGGGGTCATCACTCTCCATCTTGCCATTCCTTAATCCACAAGCTATGAATACCTGCAGCCAAATCCTAGTTAGCTATATTATCTCCGCAAATTGCAGCAGTAATATCAATTTCTTAAAGAATAGAACATAAACAAGCAAGGAGTAAAATTGAGAATAACAAAAACTTTATATTAAAAAGAAGATTGCATAAAATATTGTCTTTGCTGCAGAAATGTTCAGTAAGATAGAGAGACATAGATGATAATAATATTGGCTAAGATAGGGCAATATTTTACACCAGGAATGAATGGTGGCTTCATAAGTTAATGGCAGTGGCAAGCGAGAGAACTTGCGAATAAATGGCCTGCATGATTGGAAAAGTGGATTACAAGAGACTAATTTCTCTTTGTAATGAGAAGACTAAGTTACTATAAGCTTTGTGAACAAGACATTTAATATTCTGGGAACTTAACAGATGATAACAACAGACAACGATCTTCCACATTCTATGAATGTAACAGAGGAATTTATACAAGCAAAAGTATTAAAATATTAATACGGGAATGCATGGGCGGAACCCCCATGTACTCAGGGTGGGCATTTGCCCATCCTAAAAAAAAAATTAAATATTTAAAGGGGATATTTTTGAATATTTTTGGTGTTTTTCCCCTCTCAAAAATATTTTTTGTCATAATCTTATCAATACTAAGCAGCGTTGCCCATCCCCCACAAAAAAAAAAAAAAAATTTGTCCATCCTAAAAAAAGAAGCTGCATCCGCCCCTGCGGGAATGGATATATTATCTAGCTAGAACTGCATAATAAATTACATGATTTGAAACCGCTCATGCTGAAAATTCCAGCTAAAACCATTCAAATCACAATTCATTTTGTGAGTTTGGACTTGACTGAACACTGCAAGCTACCAATTCCACCTAATGTCATAGTCATGGGCATTGGCACAGTAGAAGTAGTCAAGTAACACAACGAAAGAAGAAACAGGTGATTCTTATGGTGTAGGGTTTTAGGTTTAGGAATTCAGAATTGAAATTGGGCCGAAAGGCAAAAGGCCAATATTAATCTCATTATCACCTCAATCAGATAGAGGAACAGCGAAAACATGAAATAGCTTCGCTTTGGTGCACTCGGTATTGCCAGTGTCGAGTAGACCCAATTTGAGCTAATGAACTTGGTTGGCTTTGTTGAGACAAGCCATTTGATGTTTATTATGGTGGTTCTCACATCGTTAAAGCCCTCTACTTGTGATTTTTATGCAAAACAGTCTGGCAAGTTTAAAAAAAGAAGCACCACAAAGGTGGAGTAAAGTTTTAACGATGTTCAGAAATGGATTTAGCAAAACAAACATTAAAGAAATTCAAAACTATTAAGATGCACTAGATTTAATGCCAATAGCAGCTTTGAAAAAAAAAAAAAGAATGGAGAAGACGGATTAGCAAAGCCAAGCTGAAAGAGTTTAAATAATGTGGTTAATAATGCTACTTTTGAAGATTATATTTACATTCTGAAGAGAACAACCTTTTTTTTCTAATGATAAAGGGTAATTTAGCAATTCTACTAAAGTTCACATTTACATTTTGATAAAAATAGTGCCTTTACAATACCTGAATTGGGACTTTTACAAGCTTAATAAAGCTGTCAAGTCGACCGATTTTGGAATCGACAGCTTGCTGTCGCTTATTTTTCCAGCGCTCTATGTTGGACTCATTTGTAAAAATAACCTAAAGATAAAATATATGCATGTTATGGAAGTGAATTTTTAAATAGATCTAAACGCTTAAGAACTATTATGAAGATCACAGGGAGCAAAATTAAAGAACCAGTTTATAGCCTCCGTTATAGAGCTCTTGCAGCTTCTCTGGAATGGATGCATACATAAGAGACCAAGCATCTGCACCAATTCTGCAAGTTGGCATACTCTAATTAATATATGAAAAAGATTTAAAAGCCAGTTTTGATTTCAGTAACGCTAGGTTAGCTTCCAAAGAGGGTAGTTCTAGTGGTTTCTATAATTTCAGCGCTCAGTTCAATTTCAGATAATTTTTTAATATTAACATAAAAAAAATAATATTAAAAGTGTTAAAATCCCAACAGTCTCTTGGCCATTGATCCCAGGGCCAACATGAGAGATCCATAGGAGGCTCACCTGGATCACACTGTTAAATCTAAACCGTCCCTTGGCTTCTTGATCCCACGGCCAGGATGGGGATCCGTGGGGGCTCACCTAGATCACGTCGATCTCCTTCCATATTCGGCTGGTTGATTTAGGAAGGATTATTAGGGAAATTATGCACGATTCCACATTTATTTATTTCTTTATTAAGATATCTTGTACATATCTATAAATAGGGATAGTTTTGTATAATAAAATTAAACATTTCTTTAACTTAGAATGTGAAATCTATATTCAACCCTTCCAAGATAAGGGTTATTCAGCCCAAAAGACTCATTCTTCAATCTTCATGCCATCAATCAAGCTTATAGTAATACTAAATTGCTTATTATTCCAACCATCCCAGTGGGTACTCGAGATATGTGAGGTTAATAGCCATAAGAATCATCACATGTGGATCCATTTTGAAAACCATAGGCCCATGAACCTTTTAACATAATACTTCTCTTCATATATTTAGTATCTCTGATAGAAGATTCAAATGATCTGACTTGATTCTCTTGTCTGACAAAGGAAACCTAGATTGATTGGTTTTTTGAGAAATCTGTGATTTTAAAAGTGCAACAAAAGCATTTTGGTCCCCATTATCACTGAGTATCATAGATAAGTCATCAGCTAGTGGCATTGACTCATTCCATTATTTTGTGAGATGTATGATTGTATGAATGATTTAAAAATATTTGAATTGGATGATTTGTCTAAAAGTCTATTTTGAAAAAATATGCAACCATTCATTATAAAATTATATATCTATATATATATATAATTAAACTGTGGGATTCAATCGATTGACTTCAAATTATACATATATATATATATATATATACAAATATATTATGTAGGGGTCATTTATCTGTTCAAAATTTCAACAGCCTCCCGATAGGCCCCACAAATGGAGGTTAGAAAGAAATTTTCCTTTCAGTCCACTTGGTAGGATCAAAGATACAACAGCGCAAGGGCTTCGGGACTATTATTCCTTGCACAGGTCTTCGGATCTTCACTTGCTCGATATATGTCCTTTTTTTTTCATTGATGTTCTCTCAAAAATTTGGCAACCTCCTAGCGTCCCCTCCACACAAAGTGAGGTTGAAAAGGCACTTGTCATTCAATCCACCTAGCCGGATCAAAGATACGATGGTGCGAGGACTTTGTGACGATTATTCTTGGCATAGGTCTTCGGATTTTCAATTGCTCGTTACTTCTCTTTTTTTTCTCTTATTTTTCCTTCTTTTTTCTTTTTATACCAAAAATATATTGCCCAAATTTGTGCACTTACAAGCAGTGGGTGAAAATGGGGTTGAAAGAATGGGGTTGAAAGCATGCGGGACGATGGTCTATTCGGGCTGGTGTCATGTGCGGAAAGACAAAGATAGGTTGACTCAGATCATTCTGTTGAGTGGTAGAGTGAACACGAGGGAGAGAGTGCTCGAGATGTGCGGCAGAGGGAGACGAGTCATAGATTGTGACTGGGATTGAGGCATGGGACAGGTAGGCGGATCGGGTCAAATAGCATGAGCGGGAGGTGCAGGCATTGACTTAGATCTACGTGTGATTTAGAGAGGATGGGAGGGCTCGCCTAGGTGTCGCTTGCGTGCATGAGTGCGAACGAACAGAGGAACTGGGTTGTTCCTTGCGTGCAATATGAGTAGTCGTGAAAAAGTTGGGGCGAGCGCAAGACTTCTTGCGTGCAGGGCAAAGAAAAAAGAAAGAGGGGTGACGGGCGGTTCCTAAGTGCATTGAGAAGTCGGATGCAGAAGGAGAGAGCGGGCTTTTGGGGATGGTGGGTGGGGGGGGAGGGTTAATGTCGTGGAGATAGGGAGTCGGTTGTGTCCATTTGGAAAAAGAACCATTGCGTCATTTGGGAGTGAACTAGCATTAGGTGGAGCCGATTGGGCTGGTCAGTAGTCAACACATTCCCATTTAAATAGTTATGAAAATTGCATTTCATTAACTTCATTTACATTGTGTCCCATCATATTATATTAAATTTCATTGGACATCAACAGGATTTAAATCAGTGTTTTATATTTACCCTCCGAACTAGGCTAAGTAAGGTTATTTGGTAGAACTTGTGCCAGTCTGCATCAGCACAAATGTAGGTTAAGGCAGGGCAAGTTTAAGGACCAGAGCATGCTACACAAGAAGATCAGGTTGTATGTTGCAGTAATCCAACAACTTCATAGCTGGTAATACGATGGCTTTATATTGGTGCTTAAATGGGCCTATGTATTGTTTAATGAAAGGAAGTGGAACCGAATTGAATATAGCAACAATAACGGAGTTCCTGCATGGAAAGCAAATTAAGGTTACAAGCTTATGAACTGTAATATCTTGTAGTAATAATTTAATGAACAAAAGCAGATCATAAGGTATGTCAGCAGGCAAATCTACAAAATAAAATTGGGCAAGGAAACCAAACGAATAATGAAAGAGAACGAATTGGACAAATGGTACATAGAAACGTTCAACCATATGCAAACCATAAATGCTCGTCCCAGATAAAGAGAAGGAATGGACAAATTTCTAAAATATAAATGATTAATAGTTTTATTCATAAAATAAAAATCTAAAAAATATATTTCAAAGTAATGCCAATCATTTGCTCAGGCATCGCCGGGCTCTCTGACGTGGTGAGGAGCTACCGGACGAGGGGATAAGCTAATGTGGCGAGCCTAATCGTGCACCGTATGAACGACTTGCTCAATCGTTCAATGAACCAACGACTAGCTAGCTGGGTTGTGCGTGAGTAGGGACTGCGAGTCGGGTGAGTCAGTGGGCAAGTCAGACAGGTGAGCCTTTTCTTTTTTTTAAATTGCTAAACTAAATTTAAATTCACTCATGGAAATATATATACATATATAAAAAAATATATATTAATTTGTTTAAAAAAAAGAAATTATCTTAAAATTAATTGAAAGTTCTTAACAAGAAGTATGATTTTCAAAATATAATTTACTAATGTTTTTAAATATTATAAGGAAAAAAATATATAACTTACATACTTTAAAGAAGATTAATTTTTAAAATATAATTCGTGACTGACTCGTGACTCACTGGTAGCCCGCCCGCAATGCCAGACAGAGACGTTCGAACCGCGAACAACTGGGCCCGTCATTCTCCCCGTGAACGACTCTCATCGTTTCCTCCACATTCAACCTCGCCATGAATAGCTCTTTCCAACCCCGCCTCCTTGATCATCGCCTACACATAGCCGCCGCCGCCACGTCAGAGAGCCACTCGTTGCCTAAACAAAAAACTTGCATTACTTTTAAATATATTTTTTTGGTTTTTATTTTACGAATATAATTGTTAACCGTCTTTATTTTAAAAATTTGTCCAAAAAAAAGTTGCATAACAAATGTATAAATGCAATTTAAATATAGGCAAAATTAAATATAATCTTATTTATATAAGATGACATATTGAGGGCTCAACAACCCCACTACCACCACCCTCACCGCAATTGAATACAAAAAAGTAGTGATAAATCCGTGTTATTGTGCTAAATCATACCTTTTCACAGATGTATTAGCAAGACATCCATCAAAATCAAATGCAGCAATTTTTTCTGTATCGTGAAGACCTTCCTCCTGTCATTTCAGAAAATTATTTGTCAACAACAGAGCACATAAGAGAATCTGTTGACACCAATCAAATGACGGAACGAATTTCTCATACTCTGGGACTGAGGAATCCAAAAGAACAACTTGGTGTCAGGTTCAATTCTTACTAAACGCCTCAACACAAGAGTGATATGCTTTGATGAAGAAATGCAATATAGAGTAATTTCTTCATAATAAAATAAAATAAAATAATCAGACAATCATAATAGTTATGAAAATATATCTGGAAAATTGGAAAAAAATACAAAAAAGTGAATGGATATATAGGATAATCTAAAAGAAATAGAATCAAGAGAGAAGATCTATGCAATAACGTTCATTTGGAAAAATATTTTGGGAAACCAATTTTAATAAAAAATGAAATGTTAACCAAACACAAGAAAACTAATATGCAATACCCAACAAATCCCACTTGATGCAAGCAAAAATTTGGGAAAAGCCCCAAATTTTTGCAAGCAAAACACACGCTTCCTAGGATAAAGAAAATACACCAAAATATGAAAAATACGACAAACTACAACTTTTTATAAGATAAAAGACTTACAAACTTTGACGCTTACAAACGACAAAATAAAGACACCTAAAGGTGCTTGCATTCGTCGAGAAGAAAGATACATGTAGGGTGGACACTTGCGGAGAGAAGAACGAGATAAGAAGTCCGAGACGAAGGAGGAGAAGCTCGCAAGCTTTCCCAGAAGAAGAGAAGAATGGAACAAGCTCGCAAGCTTTGCCACGACGAAACCCGCAGGTTTAGGATCCAAAAAATTGCATCATATCATCTCTCTAAAAACTCTCTTTTTATTCACCAAACATCACATATTTATAGGACTTAAGAAGGCAGCCAAACAGCCACATAAACCTACATTTAATCCCATTAGGTAAGGGGAAGAGGAAGACCAACAACTTGCACAAAATAGCAACCAAAAATCAGTACAGAAACTGGGAAGAGAAGCCACAGGAACACAACCAGGGAGGGACCCGAAGAGCCAACACAAAACGGAAAGGAGAAGCCACGGGAAAGCAGCCAGGGGGAGAAACCGAAAAGCCCACACAAGCACCCAGCAGCCATCTCACGTGAACAGCACAAAGAAGAAACCAAGGAGACACAAGAAGGGGAAGAAACAAGCTTCCAAACTCCACATAATGAGCTTTCAAGTGCAATAACTCCTCATATTAATGAGCTAACATTAGATCAAGCATTAATGAGTTAAAAACCAAGAAGATCTCATCATTTCAGCTCAAAACCAAAGCAGTCAAAGCCCAAACCAAGAGTAGCCAAGGCTCAAACCAAGAGGCAGCAAGCAGCCCAAAGCTTGCCTACATCACCACTTACCTGAGACACAACTATTGTTTAGGGACAACAACTTAATAAAAATAATAATCTTCCATAATTCATAAAAAAAATAATGGCAAACACCATCCTCATACTCTCTAAGCTGACAATAACAATACCATGATAGCAACAATAACAATATGGTGTATACCGATTAGAAGATTAAATAAAATTAGATTGGAAATTTTAATAAGGAAAAATGATAGTGCTATGATAAAATGGATAAAAATTATTCAAATGATTTGTAAAGAATATATTTAACACCTCAGAAAGAACTTAACAAGGATAACTGAAAATTGAGTATTCCTAAAGATGAACCAAAATAGTTGGGATGATGCTACATGCTAACATAACACACAATCCAATATGGGAATAGAATAAAAGATAAGCTAACAAGTAAATGAGTAAACTCGATAATTTCTTTCAACTCTACCAAAAAAGTAAAGTGGAAGAACACCATAGCACTAGCATTTCTCAAACACTCTTATGCAATCAAAACATGGTCTTTTGCAATTTTCGCATTCACACATGAGCCTAGATGGCACATGGCACACATGTGGTTCATTAGTGATTTAAAAATAACAAATCTTATTCCGCATCATTTACTGATTTGTTAAGTATTTCTATAGGTAATTCAATTAAGTAATAATCACGAAAATGACGATCGAACCATTGGACTAGTTTCAATGAACTAGCCACTATGGAAATAAGCTCAAATTAATGAAACCAAAAAGCTCAAGTATGCAAAATGAATGCCAAAATCATATAGTATAGTTTGAGTTTAGGTGTTCTTAATTAATTGATTAAGATTTACAATGATTCAAGGATAATTAGCCCAAAAAAATGAACTTGATTCTAGCTCTAAATTTTTTTTCAATGATTATAAAAATTATTTCCTATTTTTCTACAATTGTTAACAATTTTCTTAACTTAAATTTCTTTTAATTGATTTATTATCCATTAAATAATTAAATCTAATTGTTTTGGACCTTTGGTAAAATTTACTTAGTGATGCGCTCAAACTACACATCTTTACGCATTTGATCACACATATTTTTAACAAATTTATATGATCTTTAATTTCATATATTTTACAATAATTGCTAATTATGCATATTTGGGTTAATTAAGAATGAAATTTATAACAAAGAAAGCATATTATACTTAATGTATTTGAGGTTTTTATTCATAGTCCATTGGATTCATTAAATTGCTTAGATGTGATTTTAAATTTAACTTCATATATTTATGCAATAATATTATCAAGTTATTTTAAACATAGTTTAAAAAGGCGAACGAGGTGTGCACCAAGAGGTGCGCCTCAATTCGAGGTGCACAATGGGAACCTCGAGGCTTACACCTTTTTCACACGAGATGTACCCCTCGAGGCATTTTGAGAAGCAGTCTTAGACTATTAGATTTAATTTAGAATTTTTTTATATTACCAATACTTAATCTACCGTTCCCATCCACACGGACAGCTCGATTTGGATCAAGTGTGTTTTAGGATAGAGAGTTTGTGCGAGAGTTCTTCGCCAATCATCAATGTTTTAACATCAAGTTTGTCTTCAACACGCAAGCAACAATGCAGTGGTTCAAAGTCGAGCTCATCTCCAGCATGCAAGTAGCATCTTGACGTTGTGACCACCTCCAACACGAGAACAACACTTGACGTTGAGCCCGTCCCCAACACGCACCCAAGGGCACTTCGTTTAATACATTGTTGTTTCGTTTTCATGTGCTTCACCTGCTTCGCATGAAGTCGAGTTTTGAAGAAGTCGCTGAAGGAAACTTATTTGCCTCCTTTGACAAGGATATTTATGGCAAATCGAAAGTCACAACACGAGCTCACAATGAAGATAACAATCTTTCTTTCATTTCTTATGGTTCTTCGGCTAAATTTCTTTAAAGCAAAACAAAGAAGGAATGCGATTTAAGTTTTTATAGATTCAAAGTTGTCATTTTTGCTGCTTGGCCATGATTTGGGGTGGTTATAGTGCTTTTAAGTTGATTCCAGTAGTTTTAAATGATCTATAACTCAAGGTACGAGGGGGAGCTAGCTTTAAGATCTCTAAGACCATTCAGGAACTTGTTGTCTCAAATAATGACCCAAATCACAAACTATGCACCAGCATCTCCATTTATTCATATCATAAAGATCAACTTATTGATTATTTTCAATTGAACATTAATACTTTTTTTTTTGCTTGGTTCATAGATAAAATGACAAGTCTGACCCATAGGGGAACGGGCGATCTTTTGAATTAACATCAATATTTTCTTTAATTAATTGAAGATCACCTAATCTAGTTGAAAAAAAAAAAATTTACAAGTTGTCGTGACTAGGGTAGAACCTACCTATTTGCAAGGTCTAAAAATCTTAAATTGTGTCATATTTTACAAGACTAATATGAAGTGGTGGATGCACATCAAAGTCAACAATTTAAATCAAACTTGTCACAAAGTGTCTCACCACTTTGATTCAGATCATCAAGATCAACTCATTTTATGCATTCAATTGAATATTAATATTTTTTATCTTATGCTTGAGTCTACAATCATCTGATAAGAAAGTTACATGTTTGAGCAAATCTCCTAGAAGTGTGGAGAATTCATTTGCATTCTTTTTTTTTTTTTTGCACCGTAGCATTATTGTTCATGAAATTTGCACCATTTGTTGCTCTTCACTCTAGATGTGCTTGAATTATCTTATAGAAATTTACTTGTCTTCTTGTCCTATTACTTCTTATTTGGATTATCTTCTCAAGAGTTAATGTAAATATGTTTTGTTAAGATCATTTTTAGTTCATGGTCTCAAGAAGAAAAGATACGGCTGTCAAATCAAATAGCCTCTATAGCATTTTTGGCTGCCATGTTTCGTTATTCACTTGGTTGTGATGATATAGCTAATATGATTTATTGAGAGCCAAGATTACACTTGTTAGATATAATTATAAGAATCAATATTTGTTTTCCTATGATCTTGCACTATAGCTAATGATAAAAGATTACTATTTTGGGCTAACCTGGAGAAGAAATTTACTATTTTGTTGAAATGGACATAAACTTGTTCTTGCAAGATTTCAAGTCAATAGAATTGAAACTTGAAATTTGAGGCAAAATCCATAAGGAATTTTGAGCAGTTGCCGATTTTGATCTTTGAGGATTATAAATAAAAACCCGCGTAATTTTCATTGAATTATTAAATTAAAATTCTACTTAACTCTCAATTCCTATATATATTGATGTATTAATATTTTTCTGAGTGCTTGCAAGTCTTAACAACAACTTCTTTAAGGAGATGATTCTCCTTATACTAACATGTGGCTTGGATCTTTAAATTGATGATTTCTCCCATTTAACTTCCATCTAAGTTGTTTAGTGATTGGTTTGTGTACATGATTGGAATATTGATGAAAACATCCGATGGTGGACGTTAAGCAAAGAAAGAGGCGAAGATAGATGGTCGAGATCCCTCCATTTTATCTTAGTTTATTAATTGTATTTTTGAGTTAATTATGCATTTTCTGTTTTTACCCTTACTTAAGGGTCTTGTCTTATGTAAGCCCAAGGGGCAAAGTTGTCTTTTAGTTTATTTAAATGCCTGTATATAGACGTCATTGCTCTTGTATTAGACAATGATGGATTAATAAAAAATTGTTTCTACACTTTATTGTTGAGAGCTATGGGAGTTCTTAAGAGAGTGGAAGTCCCTATGTGAGGACAATGAAATACCCACCACCCAGAGAATATCAAATGATGCAGGACTAAATGATCAAGTTCTCAATAATAACGTAGTTGGGCTCCTTGATGGCTATCTTTATATACTTGCTCCTCTTGCAAAAATGCCCTCAGATTTCTATGAGGTTCCTCACTGTTTTCTCCTTTGAGTGTGGCTGATATGGGAGAGAAAAGTAGTCAATTGGGGAAGGTAGTCAAGGTGGCATTGCTTGAGAATTAATGGCAGCACATAGGAAAAGAAGTGGGTAGGCTAGGGATTAGGTAAAAGTAATTATGGGAAGTTTGACCAATTAATTAAAGCTTTGAATTGTAATTAATTGTGCATGGGTAAGTGGGGGAATTAATGTTTGGCTTTGGAATGGGAAAGTTGAAACTTAATGAGGGTTGCTTGGGAAGATAGAAAGGTGGTTTGAAAATCCCCGAATTAAATGAAAATCTGAATTGATTTTCACATTAATTATGCTTGAGAATACCAAGAGTTCAAGTGCATTTAATGTTGGAATATTAAGGGTCACAAGAAAATATGAAAGGGCATTTGCTATTGATGGTGAGGGGATTGAAGTCGGCGGTAGAAAGAAGGGGAAGGTGGTGGCCAAGAGTTGGAATAAGAGGAGAAAAGAGAGAGGGAATGAGATAGGGAAAGAAGATAAATCGTGAGCCTTGATGCATCCTGCGGCTGACGGGTGATGCGATGCCCTCACCTAGGGACTTTAACCATGAGCCCGGACACATCCTACGACTGGTGGGTTTTTCATTGCCCTCACTTAGGGACTTCTACTATTCTAAGAACTCCCATAGCTCTCATGAACAAAGTGTAGAAATAATTTTTTTATTAATCCTTCCCATCAGTGGAGATATGGAAGCCCTCAACTTTGCATGCACCATCGTTTGCCACAGCTTTGATGGATTAATAAAAAAATTGTTTCTACACTTTGTCTTGAGAGCTATGGGAGTTCTTAAGAGAGTGGAAGTCCTTATATGAGGGCAATGAAATATCCACCAGCCGCAAGATGTGTCCAGGCTCACAGTTTATCTTCATTCTCTATCTCCTTCCCTCTCTCTTTTCTCCCCTTCTTCTAACTCTCGGCTACCACCTTCTCCTTCTCTCTACCGCCGGCTCCAATCCCCTCACCACCAACAGCAAATGCCCTTTCATCTTCTCTTGTGATCCTTAATATTCCAACATTAAATGCACTTGAACCCTTGATATTCCCAAGCATAATTAATGTGAAAATCAATTCAGATTTTCATTTAATTTGTGGGATTTTCAAACCTCATCTTCCCAAGCAACCCTTATTAAGTTTCAATTTTTCCCCTTCCAAAGCCAAACATTAATTCCCCCACTTACCCATGCAAAATTAATTACAATTCAAAGCTTGTAATTAATTGGTCAAACTTCCCTTAATTACTTTTCCCTAATTCCTAGCCTACCCACTCCTTTTCCCATGTGCTACCATTAATTCCCAAGCAATTCCCTAAGCTCCACTTAATGTCACCTTGACTACCTTTCCCTTTCTGAAGCTGGCCGACCCCCTTCCCCTTCCTCTTCCCTCTTCCCTCTTCCCCTTCATTTCTTCTCCAAGTGACTATTTTTCTCTCCCATATCAGCCACACTCCAAGGAAAAAACAGTGAGCATTCACATTTAAATTCAATCAACATCAAGGAGGAATCCCATAGATATCTAAGAGCATTTTTACATGAGAAGCAAGTATACGAAGATAGTCATCAAGGAGCACAACTACGTTATTATTGAGGACTTGTTCATTCAGTCCTGCATCAAATATTGTCAAGTTAAATACATCTTGGTTTCTATTTTCGTAGTGCAAATCTTAATCTTAATAAAACTTTATATTTATTCTCAGATTTATTGCGTAATTTTAAATTTTGACTTTTTTATATTATTGTTTGAATGAACATATTGAATTTTCTCATTTTTCATCAAAAGGGATTAAACTTTGCTAAAATGAAAAGTTGGAAAACAATGAATTGTGATTATTGTGTATTTCATAGCATATCTCATCCTAAGTTTTTATTAGAAAGCCACAAGACTACCCACATCACCTTCCATATTCATAATTATCATTATTAGCTAAATCCCACCTACAATTCCTTGCTATTGAATAGGTTAATAAAATGGCAGAAGATCGCAGTCCTGGATACACAATGAAAACACTTCATATAAATGCAAATAGACACATGCTGATAATGAAAAATAAAGCCTCCAGAAATTAAGTATTACCCGTTCATTAAAAATGATAGTATTGAAGGCCTTCCAGTTTGGTGGAAGGTTAGCATCCTGCATTAGCGAAAGATGCACGTACATAATTTAAACAAATTAAAACCCACAAAAGAAGTGAAGGACTGCAAAAAGTACTCAGGATAAGTTAAGGAAAAAAGAGATCACCTTGTACTTATTCTTGACATCAGAAAGAGAAAATTTAACCTCCAGATTTTTCTTATTTTCAGCTCCCAATAGCTGAGAGCATGATCAAGCACAATTATCCATACAGCTTAGGTGAATAAATCAAGGAAATATGCACAAAATATCAAGAAAGAAATGACAAGTGGAAAAAAAAAGGCTATCAGATATTAAATAATGTTACTGTTAATGTATGGAGAAGGAAAATTAACAAATAAGTGGATCTAATATTTTAAAGAGCTGAATGCCTAATCTCAATAACGAAAAGATTTTTGAGAAAATATCTAACCTTAATGGAAGGTAAAAGTGGATGGCCCATGGTCTATGACATGTTATGTATTCTATGTGAAATATATGTGATTTCGGGATTCAAACTATGGAAGTGGGGTGCTTTTAAATGCAGTAACATATTGATTATGATTATGTTTATTAATATATATATATATTGATTATGTTTATTAAGATAGAAAAGATGTGAAATGATCTTATCTCCATAACGCGGACAATCAAATACAGCACAATTGCCAAGCTAGTTAACTCATTGAATATCTTCAGCTACAAACTAGTTGAACTGATTGAATATCTTCAGCTACAAAATCTCCCTCAATACGTTCCAGATGTTATGAGAAGAAATTTGATGAGAATGGTGATGATGATAATAAAATGGTTTCAAGTAATTAAATAAACTTACAAGATTAAAGCTACCTTTCTTTTTTTCACTTCCATCTCATGTGATTCTTCAATCTCCTTCATGTTATCCTATAAGGTTAATGCAATAGAAAGACTGTCATATAACAGATGAGGATTAACTTGAAATTAAATTTGATAACTTGCAGATTGTGATGGCTAATATTAAATAGTTAAGGCAACTGCAATAGGAAAGAAAAATTAAGATAGACTAAGCACATGCACAACAACTAGAAGGCCATGAAGCATCAAAATCAAGAGAGAGAGAGAGAGAGAGAGAGAAGAACATAAAACTAATGTAAAGGCTGAAAGTGCACATGTTTTGGTAGACATCCTCGTTGCATAAGATGAAAGCGGTACCATCATGCTAGAACATATTTCGAAGTGAAAAAAACAGCACTTATGCATGAAGGAAAAGTATGACTGCATACCCACACACCAACCACAACAGGAATGAGGTAAGAGAAAGATGCAAGATTAAAAGTGTAGGAAAAAGAAATCAATCTTTTTAATAAAAGTTTTGACTACGTCATAGGATATAATGATAAAAAATAACACTTAAACTAAGTCAAATGTCAAAGACTTGCCAAGCCTCAAACCACTAGACAAGAAGAAGCATAATCAATAATAGCACCAATTCATTGAAATATCATAACAATTGATCCCATTTGTAATTCCTGGTAGTATTTCTCCATCAAATATAGCTGTTAACAAGTTGATTCAGATCAATTTCTCTGGTAATCTTCTAGTACCCTGATTATAAAGAGATTCTAGACAATAGAGGTGTCAATATTTAACCTGACCCGAAAAATTTTGGGTTCAGGTCAACCTGTTTGCCATATGGGTCAGGCTCAGGTACAAGATTTCGATCCATTTACAAAATTGGGTCGGGTTCGAGCTGGCCTAATAACCTGAAACTTACCCGGAATGAACCCGTCCCCGCCTCCCAAGCCCGCGTCCCGCACTCGCGTGAGTCGCATCCGAGCGTCCCGCACCTGCTGCCATGCAGCCTCGCCTGCAATGCGATTGGTCACCCCCACCCAGCCCGTGTCTCGGTCAGTCCTGAACCCGCATGGCCACATATAGGCATCTTGCATCAGTGTGAGTCGTTGGCCTTGCCTGCAGCTCGAGCTCAATCGTCGTACTAGCCCCACAGCGGCCCAGCCCGCGTCCGAGGGATCCCACAACGCTCACGGGTCAGACTCAGGGTGACAATGCTCACACGTTCGGGTTCGCGATCCTCACCTGGATCAAAGGTTGGGTTAGATCGAGTCAACTCGATAACCGGCACGGGTTGGGTCCGAATTGTAAATCCTGACCAGTTTATAAAATCGGGTCGGGTTTGGGTTGACCCGTTTAGACCAGGGTCAACTCAAGTTCGACCCAAACCCGACCCCGACCCGTCAACCCGTTTTGACACCCCTACTAAACAATGCATAAATGGCACACAAATCAACAATTGGAGAACACATCACATTATGTTAAAAATGACATAGACTTGAAACAATAAAATGGTTATAATTGTTAATATGCTTCATGGCCAATTTTAATAATTGGTGAAGCCTTTAATCACTCATTCATTTGTTTTTAACGTGTATCACCTCAAATGGAAGTGTAGGGTTTTAACCCAACAATGTGGATTTTTATGTTCCTTTTGCATAAAAATGAAAAAAATAACCTTTTATCTAGAGGGTGGTGGAAGAAAGAGAAAAGGTGAAAAGAAAAAAAATGAATTTCCTTGTTGAAGTAAATAAGAAATAGCTCCTCTAATCCTTCTTGATTGAGTTCTTACAAAGAAGAACAAGAAGGCTCCCTCCGGATCCACTTCCTCTAAAAGCCTATATCACACCTCTAGCATGGTGTGGCACTTCTATGTTGCGATTTTTGAAGGTATCATGACCTACTAGGTTAGATATCTTCATTCATTTTTTATGTATTAGAAAATTAAGGTTTTTTCTCTCCCTATGTTCTTGAAATCTAGCCCTTCCTTGCTATGAGATCCACTATCCGTGGATGACAGAGTGTTTCTAGTTGCTCCTATATGGTTAGCTTCTAATGGGGCAATGATTGATAATGCATCTTTGATGTGAAACATGTAAGGAGTTCACAAGAAATTAATAAGAACAATTGTTAAAAGCTTTCCAATTATCAAGTTATCGTAACAACAAACAAAAATTCTAGGGATTTGTAGTTTTCCACTTGCTTAGGCAAAGAAGTACGTGTAGATTAACCAAGACGTCTTAATCAAATACAAAGGCAAGAGTAATGTTCATAGCTTATAATGGAAATCCGTAATTTAATAATGAGAGGTTCACCTTGAGGGATTTCTCACTCAACTACTCTAGGGTTTAGCGAATGAAGGTACTCCACACTAGACTTGAGATCACCACTAAGAAAAGGAAGCCGAGAAACTTCGTTGTTGGAAAGGTAGCCAGCGGTGGAAGAGGCATGGGATGTCTGATGAGGATCCACTGTGCTCTGGGTTGTCGAACTCGATCGTCTCGGCGAGGCAGTAGATGATGCGGTTGACGTAGCTTTCCACCGAATCGTTGTACTCCCAGTCCAGTTCGTAGAAAGGAGATCGGAAGATGTAGATCTCTCCTTATGCGTTGTAAGCAAAGCCGTGGTTGATCTCAGGATCGGCCATACACTATTGGAGGGAAGGAGGGAGGATGTCATCTTCTCATTTGGCTTCCAAAAACATAAGTGTTGGGTTTCCAAGAGGAAAGAGGCACGTGGGAGGGGCGGCTTGGGCTAGGTGAGGTGGAGGTGATGTGAGTTGGTTGAGAGGTGGAGAAATATTTTAGAAAAAAAAATCTGATTTTTAATTTCAGATTTTCAAAATAGAGATGGAGGGAAAATTAATATGAATTCAAAATACCAAAATTAGAGCTAGGGGGCGGCGGTTTTAGGAGAAGATTATGGCCTTATGGGAGCATTAATTGAGGTTTAAATGGCATTAAAAAGAGAGAAAGCATGGAGAAGGGGGGTTGGTCATGTAGAGAGGGGAGAGAGGGGGGTTTATGTTTAGTATGTGGGTCCCAAAGAAATAAACAGGGAATTTAATCAAATTTGAATTTAATCTCATATTTAATTAAATTGGGAGGTTTCCTATCTTAGATTTAAGCAATAAAAAAGTATTTGAAAATTCAATTAATTAATTGAATTCCCATTAGGAAACTTTCCTAATTACCAAAATCTATTTTAGGAAAGAGAGTAATGGGCTTTTGAAATTTGAATTTCAAATTTATGAATCAATGGGAGGGGTCGGCGGCTTGGTTTGTGGAAAGGGATGGGTGGAGGCCGGCGTATGGGGGTAGTGGTCGGCAGCTTGGTGATGCATGCAAATTTTAGTTTATTTTCGTTTTTATTGTAATTTGAATATTATAAAAAAAATTTTTATGTTATCTTATGATGAAAAACATTCAATGATCATGAGTAGGTAGTTTTTGGGCATGACAAACCTTGGGTGCGCTAGCTACTTGGGTTCTTTGATCTTTTGAGCTGATGGTTGCTTCTCGGGTTGAGTTGGGTTGCTTGGTTTGGGCTGTGTTTTTTGGGATTTTAGCTCATTATTGTGAAAAGTTTTCATAGGTTAGCTCATTAAGTGGAGTGGAATTATTCCCCCTTTTCTTCTCTGTGTCTCTTCGTTTTTTCCTCCTGGTTCTCTTTCCCGTGGGCTATTCTGATCCCCCTGGCTATCCCGATTCACTAGACGTCCGCTCCTTTCCCATGGTTGCTTTTCTCGGGTCTCCTGTGACTGCTCGGGTGCTGTTTCTGGATTAACTGCAGGCCTTCTAGTTCCCCTTACCTGATTGGTTCGATTGGAGGTGGAAATGGCTTTTTGGTCGCCCCTTTTCTCTTATAAATTGGAGGAGTTTTGAAGCATAAAAGGTTGTTGAATATTTGAGCAAAGTCTATACAAAACCTGAGGGTTTATTCTACCTTGGAAAAGCTTGAGAGCTTGTTCCATTTCTCTCTTCCTCCTCTCTATTTCATCTTGGGCTTCTAACCTCTTCTTCTCTCCACAAGTTCCATCCACTTGTATCATTCTTCTTGAGCTATTGAAGGTGTTATTGGTAGAATTGGGTGACAGTTGCTGGAGTAGTTTTATTAGATGTTGGACCTTGTTGCTGTGGTGGACCCTTGATTTGCAAGCCCTTAAGCACTTATCTTATTTTACCTATTTTTCGTTGCATGTGAGGAAATCGCTTGCCGGTTGTTCTGAAGATAGTGTTTTTATTTTTAAACTTTGTTTCGTTTGTTCAACTTTGGTTTGTTTTAGTATTTTGTTTGGATGTCAGCTTTCTAGTTTTAATCGAGTTTTGTTCTTCTAGCCCTAATGGTTTCCTCTATTGACTCTTTCTTTCTAGTTTGCCTGCATCACTTGGGCAGCCACTAGAGGTCGGCGGGTTGGGGGGAGGGGCTCGGTTTTGGGAGGAGGGGAAGGGGATGGGGTTTGGGGAGGCTAGCAGGTAGATGGCTAGGGAGGAGGTCGATGTAGGGAAAGAAAAAAAGATCGGGGCCGCGAACCTTGGAATCCTCCAAAGGTTGACGGTTATTGCTCTCACCCTCACCTAGGGTTTCTTCTCTCAAGAACTGACTAAGAGATCAAGCCAAGAAATCTGAAATTTTCATTCATAATTCATCATCCAATACAATAGAGGAGGCAACAATATATAAGCCTAAAGAAATAAAAAGACAATAACTCATATGCCCCTGGGGCTACAACTCGTGCAGACTCAAAAGAAAGAGTACAGCCGTAAATAACAATTAATACATAAAAGCATCAAAATAAAGACTAAGCATAAAAAATAAAGACTGTGGGTTGTAGCCATCGATCTATGACTCCTGCGCTGATATACTCGTCGATAATGTCTGTCGATGTCCTCATCAATCTTTCCCTCCTCTACTACAAAAAAGCCTAATTGGACACCATGTAAATTTGGAGTCTCATTGCATTGTTGTGTCTTCTTAATCCCTTCATCTATATACTCCTAGTTTTCTCTATGCTATAACCGCTTGTGTGGCATTCAAAGTCCAAATAAACCATTATCAAAATCAATGATTTG